AGGCAAGATGGTGGCATAGTACTCACATCCTCCCACAACCACATAAAAACTACTGTTAAACTATAGAACAACCTTCGCTGAGAACCACCTGTAATCTAACTCAACAGAAGTCCTATAACTAAAAATATAAAGAACAACCACATGAAGACTGGCAGGAGAGGTGGAGATACAGAATGGGTTGGTCACAGACCCAGGCAGTTCCTCTTAAAGGTCCTATGCCAGGGACTTAGACTCACTCACTCTGAAATTCAGCATTAGAGCAGCAGCTCAAAAGGTAACAGGGGCAACTGAGAATGAACTGGATTGTCTGGCTGGATGGGCAGCTTTCTCCTAGACAGACATGTTGGCAGAGGACATTGTTCCTTTGCTGAGCCCTCCCTCAATAGAGCTGGCAGGTGGGCACTGTATCTGAGACTCCATAGACACTGCTATCCCAGGTCTGGTAATTACTTGAGACCCCACACCACCAACTTGTCAGGTCATCCAAGACAGTTCCAGTTGGCTCTTGCATAAAAATGGCCTGTCTTAGCTCATGCTGCAGACTTAACTAAAATCTCTCAAAAAACAGCTTCTGGCTTTGGCATGCCTATGTTTCCTGGCAAGAGACACCAAGCCTTGATTTGCAGCTTGGTCTCCCCTGGACAACTCAAAGTCCAGCACAATTTGCAACCTTCCACAGAGCGCTTTGTAGGTCATACTGGGTGACCCAGGGGAAGGTCACAAGTGATGGCTGACCTTGACCTGCAAAACCCAATAAAGGCAGATGAGGACCTGTGGCTGCATTAAGTTTAAATTCTCTGAAGGATTTTTGTCTCTCCTGGTTAAGTGAACCGCATCTTCCTTTTTGCCTCCCTGGAATAATACGTAGTAAACTTTATCAAAGAGCTGATTTCATTCTGCTTGCATTAAAGTGAGTTGACTTTATGTCTCTCTTTCCCATTAGAAATTTCTGATTCTCTCATCAGAATCACATTGATACATTTCCATTCCTGACAGTGCAGAAGAGCATCCATGATATGAGTTAAACACTGGTAACAATGTCTTTTTTCAAAAAAATATTATTTTTAATGTTGACATTATTAGAGATGTCCTCCATACAACCCCTTTGTAAAAATCCCTTTTAAATATATAGTCATTCAAAAAAAAATGTAGGTGCCAAGTGAAGATAAGATTGTAAGGAGCACCAGATTTAGGATAGCATCCAATTTAATTATTCAATTTACTCTGATTCAGCACTTCCTGAATTTAAGACACTGTAATAGGCATTAGGACTTTAAACAAGGACCAACACAGCTACCTTCCCAATACATCAATAAGCTTTATATAGAGAAACACATTCCCATCTGTGACCTTTGTATGGTGACAATACAAAAAAGCATAACTGGCCCAGCACAATCCCAATAGGACCAACAGAACTACCCCACTTTGCAAGGATTTGGCAGGCATCTGCTTTTGAGAATATACATCTAGTTCTCAGTTTTCTTGTTCTCCTTGTCTCAGTAAACCAAGGCCAGGTATAACCCCATGGCCCCTAAGTTGGGTACTGCCATTGGGTTAGTGCCTTGGTATTTTAGGTTGATTCAAGTTTATCTGTGTATACTTCCATGACCAAGGGTAATTCCCACTGCATTCTAGGATCAAAGGAGAAAACAGTTCAGAGCCAAGTAAACCAGCCAGAGGGACCCTGTTATCAAAGATTTTTTAAAAAAAGTATTCCTTATAAAATTAAAGAGTTCTGTCTATGGATTCTCTAGAGCCTGTAAGTGCTTTGCTGAGCAGCTGGAGGTCATCAAGTGACTCAGCTAGACAGAAGCCTGCTAATGAATGCTAATGCTTTGCTGGGAGCTTAAAACTAGTATTTGCCTTAGGGCTGTGCTGAATAATTGCTGGTAATTGAACCTTAGAAATAGCTACACATTATTTATGTACTAGTGGTCCAATGTATGGATTTGTGCACAAGAAAAGGAAATTAATTAGAAGAAATATTTTGATATAGCTTTTCGCCCTTTATCTAAAATAGAAGTGTCAACCAAATTCACCGTCAACAATGACAGATTGAAACATTCGCAATGACAGATTGAAACATTCGCATGCGATTGGTACCAGCAATAGCTTTCTAAGTATCCTGCCTGTATTAGTCAACTTAGTCATATATATACAATAAACTTGCTAAATTAGTCCTGCTTTCTGATGTAGCTATACTTTTTTTTCCAGCCCAGTGAAGCACCCCAAATTCTTTTTCAGGTAATTGTCAGCAACCCAGAAGTAAATATCAACAGAAAGCAGATTATTATTGTAGATCACACAGGGAGAACAAAGGATAAAATATTTAACTGCAGCAGTGTTTGACTATATTCTGTGCAGTGAGTAAACCTGAAGTCATTTTCAAGGTCCATCGTTTCTTACTTCTTTTTAGTTGGGTCAAGTTTCCAAGCTTTCTAAATTTCCATTTTCTGGCTAATGAAAAGAAAATAGGATTCTTCCGGGTCTCCTATCTACCTACTCCAGGACTTCTGTGAGGATCAAATGAGATGAGGCATGGGAAAACACTTCACAGATATTGGTTAAAGTGTAAAATAAAGATATTGGTTTATTGCACTAGCTATAAAGCAAGTTGTGTTCTTAGGCTGAAAAAAAATCTAAGGAGGCTAGTTGCTAGGGTACCATTACTTGGCACCCACAGCAACTGTTTCTGGGCTGGGCTGTGGGCTGCATTTTGGGGTCTCAGCAGCATTGGCTGCGATTTGGTGGGCTGTTTCTTGGGCTGGGGCCTGTGTTCCACTTTGGGGAAGCCAAATGTTGCTTTGTTGGCACCAGGTCCTTGGTGCCATTTCTTTTTAAATGGCCAGTGTGTCATGGAAGCTCCTGTATTGAGTGTCTGCCCCCTGATGGTCAGTGTACATAATAGCAACTGTTCAAACAGTTGGAGGGACACTTAGCATATTAGCTATTTATATATGAATACTATATCTTTTTAATAGAAATAGTGTGATGCTCATTTTGTTCTGCTTTAGAATCCCTTGCAAATCTGGTTTAGTAAGCATGTAGGAAAGAAAGTCCTTTCTTTCATACCAGCAGACCCTGTGGTATGACTTCTTTTATTTCTTTTTTATTTTCAGATTTAATTCTGGGGTTTTAATGCATTTTAATTTACCCAATGAAGAATTTGAGTATTTTCATTATACTGCCAAATAATTGTTACGAAGGCCAAAAATATGTAGCAATGAATACCACAAATAACGTGTAAATGTAGCTAATATCTATTGAGAAGTCATTTTGTGCCACTATGTGAATTGACTCGTCTAATTCTCAGAACATTTATAGGGGCAAGCACTGTTACTATTCACATTTTCTTGGAGAAAAAGTTAAAGCTCAGAAATTTTAAGCAATTTGCCCAAGGTCAAAGAACTAGTAAGCTGCAGAATGTGAAAAATGATATAAATGGAGACATTTCAAAATGGAGTCAAAGTTACCATCCCAGAGAACTGCCTTGCTGGTCTTAACACCTCAAACTGTTGGAATGTTTGAAATGGGAAAAATAACTTGGGGATTGGACCAATCCAGCCTTATATTCCAAACAACTATTTGTAAAGCTAATAAAAAAGCAGACATTTTGACTACGAATTAAGGACAAATTAAGGACATTCTTTAGAATAGCACAACCATGAATAGTTATAAAGTAAACCAGCTTATTTGTATGTATAGAAATTCCATCCCTAAATAATTAGCACCAATAGAAATTCCTTCCATTTATGTAATTATTTCCCTTTACTTTCTCATAAATACCCCCTGCCTTTACCTCATAATTGAAATGCTATTTGGGTTTTTGTCTGAATCAGTGCTTCTAGAAGTATAATACTTTTTGATGTAAAATGAACACTATTCCCTCTTACTTTGGCTTTTAATTTTTAGTTTAACAAGACCTTGAGTTCATACCTAGTTTTTGGCTCTGGAATCTGCACTTTTAACCAGCAAGCTCTAATGCTTATCACATGTCAGATATTAGTTAAGTACATAATTCTCATATACACCATGGGATAGCTCTGCCAATATGACATCTATTTAATAAATGAGGAGATTGGTCCAATCAATGTCAATCTGATAGTAAGTGAAAGAACTAGGCTTTTAAATTTAGTTATGTTTGTCTCTCTGATATCTTAAATCCCATCCACTACAGCCTCCCAGAGAAGGTGGTATAGCTATTATTTTCAATAGCATATTGCATTAGAAATAAAATAGATTTTAAAGGAAAGAGACGCTATTTACTAAAATATTATAATAACTATCAACACATACTCTTCTAAAATATTTAAAACATTTAAGCCAGTTATTAGATTTTTCTAAAATATGTAAAATACTGTTAAGCTAATATTAAATGTCATCATTCTGAGAAGCAGAGCTCAGAGGGCTATTCCTAAAAATTAAAACAATTATTCATCTCACTGTTTATGTGATTTTCCCAGGGTAACTGCAATTACCTCAAGAGAGGTAATTTTTTTGAATATTTTAAAAAATACATTTTAACTTATTTTGACTATTGCAAATATAAAATGTTATTTAGTATTTGGGGATAACAGATTACAAAATCAAAACAAACCCATAAGTGTTATAAAAATATCACTGTTATTGCTGGATAAACTATTTCAATTATTATTATCATTGCTACTATTTTTCCAAATATCTGAAAAATTAGGGAATATTAATATGCCAGAGAAGTCATGATGATTCACTAGGATGTAAAATTTATAGAAAAACATATAAATGTTTGTTGTTATTATTGTTTATAAGGATATTCTTCCATAAATGTATTCTTTCCTTGTTTGAGTTCAGATTTAGAGTTTTGATAACCATTTATAATAACCACAATTGCAGATCTCTTGTTATACACTGAATATTGGAGGATAAAAGAAGAGAGTACTTCATAGATGGGTTATAGTATAAACTTTAACAAAATGGTTTGTCACTGGTGTCCTACTATGAGTCATTTATGGTTTTATTACCTTTAGGTCCTTTGAACAGTTTGATTTCCACAACAGTCTCCAGAATGGGTCGCCTCCTGCGCACATACAGCCGAACAATAGACCCTGCCTCTTTGAGGGCCTCCACCGCTTTACTGTGGGAAACCTCTGACACATCCACCTCATTCACCCGCAAGATACAGTCATTGACCCTGAAAGAAAGGAAAAATGCAAAGGTCAGAAGTGTCCAGGAGATTTCTCAAAAAATATCATTATGACTTTCTAACCTTATGAAGTGGGGGAGCAAAGGCTATCAGCAATTTTTAAATGCTTAAATTTGGAAATAAAGGAAATTAAAACACACACATACACACACACACACACACACACACACACACACACATCGTAAACTCCTGAGTTTTCCTAGCTTCCCCACATTGGCTAGTCAAGTTCCATCTTAAACTTCAGTCCACTCTGACTAGTTCAGCATCAGGCATGGTGTAGTTGGAAGGACACATGTTTTAAGGTCTCTGCCATTTACATCATAATTTGATTGGCTTTAATTGGTTGGACTGAGGGTTACAGACTGAACTACTATGGACTCTATAGGATACCTTTGTAAATAACTCAGTTATTAATTAATAGCAGGAAAGGAGCAAAGGGGAGGTTAGATAATATAGGAAAGCCATTTGTACAACTTTACCAGAAAGTTGCAGTTTAACACTCTCCAGATCTGTTCCTTGCAGATGGCTGGGGGAAGAGAGTGGACAGTAGACACATGCCCAGTAAGGTCTGGGTGAAGTGGGATGGTACTTTCATGTCAATCACATCTGGAAACAAACCACTGGCCACAATAGGCCTGGCTCCTTTAAGCATGGAAGATTTGATATTTAAACTCCAAAACAAAGTGAGTTTGCTCTCTTGGCCCACCTGGCCCTTTCTGGTCCCAGACCTCTCCCTGTAGGGGGCGTGCTCCCCTGCATTTGCTCATGTGGCCCACAGCCATATGGACCCCACAAACCATGGATCAATGGATTACAATTAGCCTCATGCTCTGCCAGATTCAGCTCCACCCTGGAACGGAAACTCTGGACACTGGCTTTGCTTCCAGCTCTGTTGTAACCCCAGCTGCACTTTTTCCAGGACTGATTTAAGGGAAAGAGGACTTTGGAAACCAAGGGATATATACGAATAAAAACCACTCATTCTCTGTGCAAGTCTTAGATAATTCTTTTTTTCAAGATATAAGAACCTACTCCCACTAGCATCAGAGAAGTTCCACCCATGCAATTCTCTGTTAACACAGAGACATAACAAATGTGACTTTATAAATTCATTTTTCTTGACTTTTTAGAAAATCTGAGAAATAAAACTATGTAGAAAGAAGCGCGCGCACACACACACACACACACACACACATCCATCATCTAAAACAAACCTATAAGTTTATTAGTTTTCTGGCAAATTACCTTCTATTTTTTATTTATTATTTGTTTATTGTTTTTTTCAAATTCATCTCATAATATTATAGATGTTGAAGTTCAGCTTTCACAAAATTAAAAAAGAATCTCAGACAATTCTTGCCCTAGATACTTACTTTGAAAGCAAGAATTATGACAAAGCCTACATTAAACTTTTGTTTCTGCTATTTTCCCAAGGGAAAAAATAACTTGATTTTTCCATAAAGCTTTCCAGGTATTTTATGGAACTTATTGTTAATATAAGTAATGCTTAAGAGTATGTAGCTGAGACTAAAAAGATTTTTTCTTTGCCTCTGCTTATCCTTTCTAGTATTCCCCATCTCCATCTACTGTGTTGCTCAGCATGAAAAATTGGAGTGACTCTTGCTTGACTATTCTCTCCCACCACCACCATACATTAGGCTCTACCTGCAAAGTATATCTGCAATCCATCCAGGATTTGTCTTCACTGCTAGCAACCTAGTAACTGAAGTCAATGTCCTTTCTCACCTGGATTACTTCCACAGCCTCCTGATTGCTCTCCCCACATTCTCTCTTGTCACCTTTCAATCCATTCTCCATGCCGTGGCCAGGGTGATATGAACATGGTTAGATGCTTACTCTTCTTTCATTTCCCAGTTCATTCTTCCACACAGTGCCAAAATTTGTTTGGGACATCTATGCCTTAGCAAATATTTGTTAAATGAATGAAGAATAAGTCTAAGGTTACCACTTACTATCATCATAGGCCTCATTAAGCTTTAGTTCCTATTGAAGAAATAAGGAAGCAATATCTACCTTTTAATGTTTCTGCTCAGACTAAAAGATATATACATAGTACACAATGCAAATACCTCCCACTATGTGACAAGCGTTATGCCATTTGAATAAACCAAAGACCCATAGTTCAGTATAATAAGCATAGTTTAGCATTGGCCAGTATAGCTCAATTGATTGGAACATCATCCTGTACATCAAAAGGTGGCAGGTTCAATTCTGGTTCAGGACACATACCCAGATTGCAGATTCAATCTCAGGGCACATTCAGGAGGCAACTGATTCATCTCTCTCTCTTCCACTCTCTAAAGTCATTTTTTTTAAAAAACAGAGTTCAGTGCTTTCATAAATATAATCTATAATAATCTATAATAATAAAAGCATAATATGCTAATTAGACCTGGCAGCCAAACAATCTTCCAGATGTCATTCTGGACGTCCTTTTGGATGAAGCCACAGCAGCAGGGCCAGGGTAGAGGCGGTTAGGGGTGATCAGGCAGGCAGGTGAGTGGTTAGGACAATCAGGCAGGCAGACAGGTGAGCAGTTAGGAGCCAGAAGTCCCTGATTGTGAGAGAGATGTCTGACTGCCACAAGATCCTTGCAGGATCAGGCCTAAACCGGCAATAGGACATCCCTTGGGGGTTCCCAGATTGCGAGAGGATGCAAGCCAGGCTGAGGGACTCCCTCCACCAACCCTGTGCACAAATTTCATGCACTGAGCCTCTAGTATTTTTATAAATATAGTACAACAGCTGAACACAAGTAATTTTTAGTATAAGTATTTCCAAATATGGTCTTAAACATATTTCCATTAAAATATTTATTTTAATAATAATTATTATTTTTATATGAAATCCAAATTTAACTAGCTGGGTGTCCTACATTTTAATTTGCTGAGTCTAGTAATCCTATTAATATTCTGCATTGGCTACCTACTGGAGAGACACTGGACTAGACAAGTGAGCCAGGGATGACTTTGCAAAAAGACAAAATAAATTTTGAATTAAGTATTAAAAGGAAAATAGGAATGAGATAAGGGATATAGCAGATGTAAAGTGCTCTGTTTTTTTTGTTTTTGTTTTTGTTTGTTTTTTGCCAAGTAATGAAGAGCCCTCTGAGCTTACTTAATCAAATAGGTTTATTAAAATGGCATAATGCTTGTCACATAGTGGGAGGTATTTGCATTGTGTATTATGTATATATCTTCTAATCTGAGCAGTCATTAAAAGGTAGATATTGCTTCCTTATTTCTTCAATAGGAACTAAAGCTTAATGAAGCCTATAATGATAGTAAGTGGTAATCTTAAAGTTCCTGCACTGTACCTTCCACACCTCTCTGGTTTAGTAAAGATAATTTTGGACCATGGCCAGTGTGGCTTAATTGGTTGGGCATCATCCCATGCACCAATGTGTTGCCAGTTTGATTCACAGTCAAGGGCACATGCCCAGATTGAGGGCTCCATCCCTAGTTGGGGGAGTGCAGGAGGCAGCCAATTGATGCTGTGCTCTCACATTGATGTTTCTCTCCCTCTCCCTTCCTCTTTCTCTAAAAATCAATAAGCTATTAAAAATAATAATTTTGGGACTATCAGCAGGGTGAAAGATCATACTGGAAAGCAGAAAAGCAAAGCCAAGCAACAAAATCTAGATCAATGGTTCTCAAACTTCAGAGAGCATTGGAGTTACTTGGAGGGCTTATTAAATTACACATTGCTGGGCTCCATCCCTCGAGAGTCTGGAGCAGAACAGGGGAATCCATATTTCTAAAAGCTCCTAGGTGAGGCTGGTTGGGGGTCTATTACACTGAAAACTACTGCTCTGGATTTTGAAGGGCCACACTATTTTTTTATTACATTTAAAAATATATATTTTATTGATTTTTTACAGAGAGGAAGAGAGAGGGATAGAGAGTTAGAAACATTGATGAGAGAGAATCATCAATCAGCTGCCTCCTGCGCACCCCCCACTGGGGATGTGCCCACAACCAAAGTACATGCCCTTGACCGGAATAGAACCTGGGACCTTTCAGTCTGCAGGCTGATGCTCTATCCACTGAGCCATACTGGTTTTGGTAGGGGTCACACTATTTGGTTCATGTGTAGTTCATTTAAAAATGAACAGGTGTACTAGTATTCAGTCTTATGTAGGCCTAACTGATTATGACAAAAGTTCCAAGCTCTGCCTCTGGACCCATTCCCTTCAACGCTGCAGCTTTTCATTATTTGGAATGAAGTCTCTAAGGGAATCTGGACCGAAAGACTGCAGCTGTCATACCATGTGAGACTATGAATATGCGAGCCATTTTCCAGTACTCATTTCATATCTGAGGCTCTTTTCCTTCAGCAAAGACCAATTAATAGCTACTTCATTCTACATTTTAAAAATAGGGCTTCTGCTCTTGTCTCTAAATTCTGGGTGAGAGTTACTCAGGTTTATGATCCATAGAAGCCATCTCCTAAAGTGAATATACTGTTTTTCTCTTTTCATTTACCACCTCATTTCCCTTATATTAAATGCTCGTAGGACTCTCTGCAGCTGTCATCTGGGAAAGATCACAGCTTTCCACAAGGGGGAAGAAACTATTTCAGCATTGGTAATTGGTCTTTTGACACTTTGCCAGAAAAGCAGAGAGGCCAGTAACACATCTCAAGCCAGGTAAATTAGTGAAGGTAACATGGGAAAAAGGCAATAAGACTGGAAATCACTTAGCCCACTAGTCCAATACTCTGTGCATAGATGGGAATGCATGTCAACTTTCATGAAATAAGGCTCTGGTTCTCCCAAATGGATTACAGAAGTAGCTTTCCAGTTAGTTTTCCTGATGCCAAGTTAACTAGTCCCTGTCTATCCATTTCATTCTGACACATGATCCCAGGTCAGTTTCAACTTCGTAAAGCAACCCTACCATTATCTGCAAACTTTCTATAACAACACTAATGTCATTTCCCTTCCCCTCAAAATTCATCAAGGGTTA